AGTGATTAACAAATATTTGATCAGCATATGTAAATGAAAAGTGTCAGTGACGATAGGTTCCGGATAGAGTTAGAATTTGGTCTGCTGATGCCGGTGTATGCCACACATACTAAGCGACATATCAATCCGAACACCCAGTTTAAATGGTTTTATTTTAATAAAATTTTGTATAAGTACTTAATGAAGCATAATAAGTAAATGATAAAAATTACAAAATGATTGCACTGCTTTAAAGCCCTTTGACCTTTAATAATGTGTGGATGCACCCTGATGTGCTACGCATTCTCCAACGCGCCTAGGCATGCTTCTGATCAGGTGGTCAATGTCCTCCTGTGGTATCTCATTCCAGGCAACCACCAACTCCTCTCGAAGTGCTTCTAGAGTCTGAGGAGGACGTTGCAAATTGAGCAATCTCCTACCCATCATATCCCACACGTGCTCAATTGGGGATAAGTCGGGAGATCTTGGTGGCCATGGTAACAATGTGACATCATTATGTTGAAAGAAGTCTATTGTGACTCTTGCAACATGTGGTCGGGCATTATCTTGTTGGAAAGTTGGATCTGCCAGGGTGTCAAGATAGGGTAAAAGATGGGGTTCTAGAACTTCGTGGATATAACGCTGCGCGTTCATGTTACCTCTGATGAAGATTAAAGGTGACCTGGAACCATAAACTATAGCACCCCAAACCATAACTCCAACAGTGTGATGAACATGTCTTTCAACAAAAAACTGTGGATTCCTCCTTTCACCACGTCGCCTTCTAACCCTGGCACGACCATCGTGCATGCCTAAACAAAATCAAGACTCGTCACTAAAGACAATACTGTTCCATTCCTGATCCCAGAGTGACCGTTGTCTGCACCACTTAAAGCGATTACGTCGGTGTTCTCGAGTTAAAGGGAGGACCCAGTGTGGCCGGTATGAAAACAAGCCAAAACTTCTCATTCGTCGGTAAACACTTCCCATGCCAATAGGTCTTCCGTGTTCTGCAAACCATTCATTTGCAATGGACCTGGTAGTGGAGAAACGTTCCCTTAAGGCCAATAATCTTAGGCGGCGATCTTCACGGTCTGTTGTTCTACGGCGGCGTCCAGTGCCCCGTTCTCTTTGCGTACGGCCTTCTCGAAGCCATGCCTGACAACACCTAACCACAGTGTCTACACTTCTTTGCACTCTAACTGCAATTGCCCGAAAAGAAAGTCCAGCTTCCCGAAGTCCCACTATACGGCCCCTATCAAACTCACTAAGTTGACGAAATCGTACAGGTCTCCGTACTCTAGACATCGTAACCGATCGTAAAGGGTGTGAAGAACCAAAATCCGCCAACGTTGATTCTTTACTGCGGCTGAAATATTCATTTTTAGAACGTTAGTGAATTAAAAAAAAAAGCAGTATAAAAACCGGAATGTCCAACTGATAAGGCTGAAAATTTTTTCACTTGTTATTTACAGTAAGATAAATACATTCACCAACTTTTATTAAAATAATACCATTTAAACTGGGTGTTCGGATTTATATGTCACTTAGTATATTTTTGCAGATAGTGTGCTGTCTCTTAAGTACATAAAAGATTGGAGTGTCACCTAAATATCATCACATGTAATATTTTGTATTCGTTTTTTCTAAGGAGGCCATGATTTATTTGTCAGAAAATAACATTAATGAGTAAGGCGTGTATTTATAGACTTTATCGACGATTGTTTTTTAAAAGCCTTAAGTTCACAATTTTGTTTTTGTTTGTCTAAAATTCATCATATTATAACTTCGCTTAGTATATATGGGGCTGATTAACCCGAGTATAGTTTTGCTTCTAGACATGAGCGTATCCAACGAGAAAAAATGGATGAACGATGTTCCTTGCTACAGCCCTATTTGTGTCGTCTCCAAACTGTTGTCATGTCGTGTAACGCAATTTCAAGCAACGTCGAGTACCAATAAAATAATGAGATAATCTTGATTTTCATATTGGCGGTTATTTCAACTACACGAAGCCTTATGACACCACACTCCACAGCAGTCAGAAACTGAAATATGTAGAAAAGGATATTACGTGTTCGCACATACAGTGCTTTCCTTTAATGTCCCCCTCCCTTTTGATTTTTTGAACGGATCAATTAAAAAATTGAAACTTGTGGTAATGAAATTGATGCGTGAATACCATATTTTAGAGTAAAATTGACTGGTGAAAATGTCAAGATGGCCACTGGGCACCATCTTGGGAAAAAATATGAAAACGGGGGTCTTGTGGCACATCATTTTAAAGCTCCTGACGAGTACTTTATAACTCTAGAATTTAAACTCAATAGCTGTACCTACTACAAAATGATGGTACATTTAATAATTACCTGAATACATTGACATTTAACTTGATAATTCGAATAAATACGTTGAGTTCAGTTTAGAAGATGCTGGAAATCGTTGCCTTGAACTTCTTGACACAATGACAGCTGGTCCGTAATTTCGCGTCGAACATTTTCAAACATAGAAACATGGATATTTCTACAAATATTTGTTATTCTCAGCCGTATATCGCACATTGAAGCAGGTTCAGTTTCGTACACCTTTTGCTTCAAATAGCCCCATAAAAAAGTCTAAATGTGTCAAATCTGGCAAGCGAGCTGGCCATTCTACAGGACCAATTCCTAACTTGTCTGTAGTAGTGTGGTGGAGCACCATCTTGCTGGAATACAATATCAGTATTGAATTCATTAGGATTCGCTTCGAGGATTTCGATGATTAGAGGGTCAATAGTATTTTCTAGCATATCCAAATACAGTTCCTCGGTTATAGTTTGTTCGATGAATAGAGGTCCCACAATATGATTTCCCAATATCTCAGCCCAAACATTAATTTTTTGTGGATATTGAGTATGAGTTTCCTGGAAGACGTGAGGATTGGTGTCACTCTAATAACGACAATTTTGTCTATGCGCATTACGGTTGAGAAAAAATGTACATTCATCGCTAAAACGAATGTTTTGGATATAGGTAGGATGCCGTGCAATGGTTTCTGTCATATGTCTTCGATTAGGGTCATCCTCAGTTAGCTGATGTACCATTCGAATTTTGTATGGGTGATAGGTACTTATTCTTTTTCAAAAGTCTCCATACAGTAGAAGGACAAACCTCACATACATTCGCGATGGAGGAAGTAGACTGTTGGGGATTTACTATGATCTCACCAATTATTTGAACTTGTTTTTCTTCCGGGATGATCGGATGACCTGGGGGCTTTTTGTTGTTTACACTACCAGTAGCTGTAAATTTAGATACAAGTTCTCTTAAATATTTTCTACAGAGAGGACAATTTGGGAAACGATCATTAAAAATCCTTTCGGTCTCGTGAGAGTTACGCGTCGCACCATAAATAAAAATCGCTTCGATTTTTTCTTCCAATGGACGAGAATTGACCATTTCAAAAATAGTTCAAACAGTATTTAGCACTAAAACCGAAAACTAAATATGAATATTTTAACTGTTCAATGATGTTTGTTTTCGTACTGATATTCTTGTCACTGTCAACATAAAATAACAAAACAAGTTTTTATCACTGGTTTCATTTCATTGACTCAAGTTTTAATTTTTTTAATTGATCTGTTCAAAAAATTAAAGGGGGGGACGATATTAAAGAAAAGCAGCGTATGAGTTTTGACCATTTACCGATAACTGGTGCTCAATAGCGATCCATAAAGACATATTTTCGGAATTAGTTACTCAAGTGGATCAAAATGACGGATATTTTTTCATGAAAGCGTTTTGTCTAAAAACTGCATGAGTTTATGTTGATATTTTGGAGAAAGAGCCCAACTCCAAAGGAGGAGCTTGAGAAGTATTTCAGATTTTGGCATAAAACTCAGTATAGGGAGGTGAGAAACAAGGATCCGTTATTTTGTATGGCCAAACTTCTAGAGTACGCCACATACAGCACTATTTCGGTAAATAGCATAACTTTTTTGTGCTACCCTGTTTACAATAACTGACCACAAAATCTTATTTTCTCGTATTTCCGCAACAAAAAAGGTTTACTTGTTAGAACTGTCTAAAGCTAATAGTTTTCGAGGTATTTGTTTTTAAATCATATTACATCTTGCCATCCGTACATTAAATACATATCAGAATATTCATCAAACGTATACTCCATGATGTTTAACAACTGATTGTCAACTTAAAATTATTCATGAAGTTTAAAGCAATATTATGACAAACATTATAAACCATAGCAACGCTACTCAAATATTATCCAAAGCAACTTGATTATTATGTTATAAAAATCATCATGGTACAAATAATGCATTGGGACTTTTAAATACAAATATCTCGAAAACTATTAGCTTCAGATACTTCTAACAAGTAAACCTTTTTTGTTGTGGAAATACGAGGAAATGAGATTTTTTAGTTGGTTGTTGTATACAGGGTAGCATAAAAAAGTTATGGTAAGTGATTTACCGAAATAGTGCTGTAAGTGGCGCCATGTAGAAGTTTGGCCATGAAAAATAACGGATTCTTGTTTCTCATACTATACCGATTTTTATGCCAAAATCTAAAATACTTCTCAAGCAATAAGGAAAAATAGAAAATAAAATTGTAACTTTGACACCATGTATCTCGCAAACTATCAACTTCTGGACTAAGGTATCTTTAGGTCAGTTCGCATATTTTGGTCTGTAGTATCTGCAGTTGCGAGGTTTCGCAACCTTTCGCAGTATATGTATACTGATGGTTCAGTATTGTATTTTTGGGTTTATTTTTTATCACTGGTTCTTGCATTAAACTCAAAGAATCATTTCCGAAACGGGACAACGACCGTAGATATGGACCAATAGGGAAATTTTCGATACGTACAGGGCAACTGTTACTGAAATTTTCCCGTTGTCTAGGTAACGGGAAATGCTCGCTGTAATTTTGCGATAATTCCACAATTCTTATGGCATTTTTTATACATGAGGGAAATATTCAAATAAACTCATTCGTTTACCCTATAAGGATTTTTTATTTCAGACAAAACCCTTGACAGTCATCAGTGCTGGTATGATATGGATTCTTGCCACAGGCTTTGCTCTTCCAGATGCCATCTGCTCGGGCATCTACTACGCACAAATTGGAGAGTGAGTATTACGAACGATTTCATATTCTCTGTATGAATAAGTTGACAAGAGTAGATAATATTGCCTTTAATAAACGAGAGTCAGTAATTCGAATTTTATATCACATAGTCCCTTCAGAGGTGACTAGGAATGTGTACTAACAGTTGAAAGGATTAAAAGGATTTATACTGACACTAATTATCCATTAGTAGCAGACTTGCTCTTAGGGCTGAATTAGAGAATACAGATCACTAGTGGGAATTGAATATTGGTGTCATAGATTATGCAGAGACGTAAGCAAGAGACAATATAAAATAGAATCAATTTGGTAGCGGAGAATCTAATTGCCACTCTCAGCAAGCTGGTAGAATAGTAGAACTGCTTTAAAGCTATTAATATATAGGGTGGGCCATCAGTTTTTTTTTAAGTTGGTATTATTTTGATAGTTGGTAACACTTCCACAGTCAACATATTGACAGATGTATTGTGTCAAACTTCCGCTATGAGCAGTGGATCGTTTTAATCTTGAACAAAGGCGGAGAATATTGAAAAACTAGTTTCAAAGTGAGTGCTATGTTTGCGAAAATTGAGAAGACTATTTCTTCGGAATGAAGCTCCGCCCGCGACTGGTATACGAAAATTCGTAAAGAAGGTTCGTGAAACTAGAGTGCTTCTGGACAACAGACGGTACGAGCGTGTTCAACCCGTACGTACAGCCGAAAACATTGCTGCTGTTGCCCAGAGTGTGCGCGAAAACGCAAGAATGTCAATTCGTCACAGAGCACAACAAGTGAGCATTAGTCGCACATCTCTGCGGAGAATATTGCATAACGACCTGGGATTATTTCCTTACAAGGTGCAACTTGTGCAAGATTTGAATCAAAATGACTATCCGCTTCGATATCGTTCCTGTGTGTGAGCAGGTATAGGGTTTGGCTTGTGTGGGCTTTAAATCAACTGGAAACGGACGTCAATTTTGGTCGCCAAATCAACTTTTCGAACGAAACCCATTTTCATCTGGGAGGTTACGTTAAAAAGCAGAACTGTAGGATTTGGGGTTCTGAAAATCCACATGTCGTCATAGAAAAACCAATGCATCCACAAAGAGTAACTGTTTGGTGTGGCTTTTGGAGTGGTGGGATTATTGGTCCCTACTTTTTTCAAGATGAAGATGGTAACAGCGTGACGGCAAACGGGGAACGCTATAGAGACATGTTGAGGAGTTTTTGTGGCCACTATTGGACGTCATGCTTTTACACAATATCTGATTCCAGCAGGCGCAACTTGCCACAGCAGCCGTGAAACAATCGATCTTTTGCACACTAAGTTCGGTCATCGCGTTATCGGCCATTTTGGAGACGTTCATTGGCCAGCCCACAGCTGTGATTTGGCGCCCATGGGGTACTGTGAAGGACCGCTGTCACACTAACAATTGATGTTCTTAAGGGAAATATCCGTTTAGCTATTTTGTTGTTGTTGTTGGAGAGAACAGTATGCCCTGAACTCTACCACATTTATTCAGCAAAACCCAAATTTACCAATATTAAAATAATATGTATATCTACACATTAACAAAACAAAAACAAGCTTTCTCTCTAATATATGAGCTACTAAGTTTAAAAACTTGTATGGGCAAAAACAGACCAAAACAGTAATTAATTGATAAATATCGTGCAATATATACTTTTGTACAAAATCACTCAACAATACCAACAAAACGTGAAACACGATATAGACAAAATGAAAGAAAATATCATATTTTTGTTGTAAGTCATAGGTTTAACTTAAGATCACAGAAAAAACGTGTCAAAATTATGTCAAAAAAAAGAAAAGAAACAAATAGGCAGATATATCTACCTCAAACCAACTTAAAATAAACGCATACATGGTTCACGATTTTCCCAACAGAACATTTTAAACGAAACATTAAATTTTTTATTATTTCCGATATTCCTGATATTACCAGGAATCAAATTGTAAAATTTAGGTGCAAGATATGCCACAAAACGCAAATTTAAATCTCACCTGGACTGCGGGACGTAACAGGTTATGAGTGGTGTTTGCTCGGGTCATGTAATTGTGGGACACATAATTTTTATTTAATTTCTTTTTTGCATGTACAAAACTACATACAGTAAGGATATATAAGATTTTAATATTTATTTAATTTATTTCTTGAGAATAAAGTTGTACAGTGGGATATAGTCTAGGTTTTTTTAGAATAATCCTTACAATATGGTTCTGCACCACTTTTAACAGCCCAAGATTGATGAATTAGACCCACAAACTATCGATAATCTATTTTAAAATTGGAATAAGTGGATGGACTACTCCCAGGCCAGCCGCGGCAGCCATTTAACTGAAATTGTTTTTCATAAATAATCGGAAGGTGTATTTTTTTGAATAAAGTGTCGAGTTTTACATATTATTGAAGAGTGAAGTTTTAATACCAGTTTAAGAAAGAAACCAATGGATGGCTCACCCTTTACATGCTGACCCAAATTGCAATGACAGGGTCTCGGATTCAAATAGAACACAGAAAAATAATGTCTAAAGTTCCTCAAGAAATACCAAATTGAGCTCTTCTACAGAGATATATAAAATATGATGGGCTTTTTGAGTTTCTTATTACCGATTTATTACCAAAATTACTATATTTTTAAACTGGTGAAATTAGTATATTCCAAATTGGTAGAACTACTTTAGAATAAGACTGTTGTTCTCCAGAAATGGGCTATTATATCGATGTTAAACAAAAGGCTTAAATATAAAGCTTTGCAGAAATGTTGAGCCATTATTATACACGGTGTCAAACGAATTCATGTAATTTTAGTCTATGGACATATGTAGGGCGTTCCTTAATGATATACGAATATTTAAGATATCAAAATCCAGTGACATATTCCAGAGCAACTACGAGTAGATATTTATTGCTAAATTGCATTCTTCAATTATTACATTAATTTTCTCGGACTACAGAACGGCTTTTATTTTTCTTCTCACAAATTGCGCATCGAAGGAAAACAATCCAGGAAAGATCATCTGTTTTAAATTGAACGGGGAATTCAAAAATAATTTTTAATTGCCAAAAAACCATGGCGCACCATTTTTTCTTAAAAAATATCTAAATCAATACCCGTACGCACGCCACTGTTAAAGCTAAAAATTATTTTTCCATTGAAAAATATGCAACTTTATTAACTTTCACTACCTACGTATTAAATATCAGTAAAATATCTGGAGCGTTTCTGAAAATATTAATTTCCATTTTTTCCTAAAACTTCAACATCCCGAGTTTTTGTAAGGAAACATTTTTGGACCAAAGTTTATAAAGCAAACTAACATTAATTTTTCATGTAGATTCACACCCTAAATTATTCGCATATCATTAAGGAACACCTTGTATAATGTTCTCCTCGCTTAAATGCTACTCTAGAAAAGCCGACTTCCTACAAGGTACTATGGGTGTTATCTCTGTAAGGGCACCTCATTTCTCATAAGAACTTGTGGCATCATATGGATAGATTAGAGAAATGTTTTAAGCTGTTGTTAGTTTGTATTTTCTTTTTCAGTAACAAGACAATCACCTATTGCTCGCCCTGGCCAAACATCACCAACGTAGAGACGTACATGAAGTACGCCATAGTCCTGAAATCCCTCATCTACTACTTCATTCCTCTTGGTATTATTGCCTTTTTCTACGTGTTGATGGCGATTCGTCTCCACCAAAGCGCCAACGATATGCCGGGTGAGATCAGAGGGGTCCAGAGTGTTGCACAGGCGCGAGCTAGGAGGCATGTTGCTAGAATGGTTCTGATTTTCGTCTTCTGTGAGTATAAACATACAGTGACCACTTTCAAATGTTTATATACTAACAGCCCATGCACAAGACGCTATAGCAAGAGTTCCCAACCAGGGAGGCGTGCCTCCGAAAGAACAAACAAAAACAATTAACGAACAACAAATAACATTACAGTGTGATGTTTAATTTACACGCATAAAATTAGTAAATTAAATATCATGTTCACTTATTCTGTCAACCGCTGTTTGCAAAAACCGGCGTCGTCAGTCGCAGTTTATACAAGTCACAACATGAAATCCGTGCGCACCCCAGCCGCGCTCCGCTTAACATTCATCACTTAGAAAGCAAGTGTGTACCTACCAGACGCGGATGAGCATCTGTGACATTCATTCCCACACACTTGCAAAAAATTTGACGTTTCCATGTACATGTTTTGTTGAGAAATCTGTTTGAGTGTGTCAAATTATTGTGTCTCACTGTTAAAAGGTAAGTTTGTGTATTTACAAACTTCAGTTACCATTTTTATTTAATCTACTAAATTTTTGATTGAGTGGAGACGCGTTCATAGATTGGCCAATGGGACTTTTTTACCACATCATAATCAAACCAACGTGGCGAAATAATTTTGAAATGACGAAGTTTAAGTACCTAATATTGATTCCAAATGTGTTTAAAATTACTATTATAACGTCAATCTGCTTACAAAAATATAAATCTCCCTGTGGCCAATATATTGTTGAATACGAGTACATTACGATATTAAGATAAAATAATGGGCATATAAGTAGTAATTACATGTAGGTATTTTGCAAGAGTTTTTTTCTTCTAAAGCAGAATCACTCAAGCGGACGAGACCGGATTAATCGGGAAATTATCACACAGGTGTATCGCAGCATCTCAAAGCTTCATTTGAAATAGCTTTTATGATAGCAAAGCAAAAGAAACCTCATACTATCGGTGAAGAATTAATAAAACCATGGTCCTAAAAGCCACGCGAATAATTTTAGGAGAAGATACAGAGCAAATAATGAAGTCTATTTGTCTTTCGAATAACACAGTCAAGCGTAGAATCGATGACATTGCAGCAGACATAATTCTTCTTGAGTTCAAAGAAAAACACAATTTCTAGACAATGTTCAAAGATGACACATTTCAATGGAGGTTGGCTTATTTATCTAACATTTTAACTCATTGAATCAGCTAAACTTGAAACTTCAGGGCATAAACAACACTATAACAAGCAATTATAATTATATTCAGCGGTTCATATCAAAGCTTCAACTTTGGAATAAAAAAATAACATACTGGACGCAAATTTAAAAGCTGACATAAAAACTCATTTGCAAGCGCTGGAAGATGAATTTCGCCGATACTATCGAGATATCAATTCAGAGTCACCAATATGGCACAAAACAAGAAATCCATTTGTTGTCGATGTGTCATAATTACCAGAACAAGTGCAGGAAGTATTTCTAGAAATGGAGATGATTCGTCCATGAAATATGACTTCCATCTTTTAACATTGGAGAAGTTTTGGATCAAAAGATTGCTTGTTAATTCGACACTTGCCTCTCTTGCTTTACGAGTACTAGTTCCTTGTTCTTCAACTTACTTATATAAGCTTTTCTGCTCTAGTTTTGATTAGAACTAAACAGCAAAATCATCTTGATGTCAATAGCGACCTGATGATAGCTCTGGCAAAAACAGTACCTAGAATCAACCCACTGGTTCAGAACATGCAATCTCAAGTGTCTCATTAGTACCTACTGTTATTTTATTCAAGTTATTCGATATAAAACATTGATTAGTTTGTTTAAATTTTTAAAGTTTCTTTATAAGAATTAAAATAAAAGTCTTTGTACCTAAATATTGTGCGTTTTTTGTATTTATTGAAAAAGTAAATCGGGGCATGAAAATATAATTTATAGTCCGGGAGCCTCAAAAAAAAAAAAAGGTTGGTAAACCCTGGTCTGTTAGAAAAAAGGTTTAACACTCACAGGTATGGTGAGGTGTACGGGCATTAAGAAAATGAAGCGGTTGACAAGTTGCAGTTCCCACTCAACTGGTGGGTCAATATAGACCTCCCAAAAAGAAAGTTCTGCCGCTCACATGTCAGAAGCATTTTTTGGGGAATGATAGATATGTACCTTCCATTGTCAAAGCATGCCCGGTTGCCTGATTTTACCCCCATTTATAAAAGTTTCTCACCGCGTCTCAATTCACCCCCTCCCCAAATGGGGAATTGTCTCCAGATGTTATAAGGAAAGAACAGGTGTAAACTTCTAGGCAGCAGCGGTGGCCGCAGTAGTAGACTCTTCGGTCTCCTGATCAGTCGCCGTGCGCTGTGCGGGTTCGAGTCCCGTCCCAGGAGAAATTTTTCTCTTGGCTATGGATGTTGTGATTGTCCGTAGGTGGTAGATGGTCTCTGACTGTCGAACGCGGAGGTACCACCCGGTAGTTCTCGTAGGCGGAGCCAGAATGTGTGCATGTTGCATGCACACATGTTCCCTCGCCAGAGTCCGTGTGGCGTCCCCCCTTTCCTATGTATCCCCCATAGCGCCACGATACCCAATGGGTGCTTAGGCCTTAGGCCTTCGTGGTAGTTGGAATATAAAAAAAAATCATCATTTTTTCTTGCATACTGCGATGGGTTGGTAGAAGGTTTGCCCCCAAGCGTAACCAGGTACACTGGGTGCACGAGTATCAAGGAAATAAAACAGTTGGCGGATCGAATGGTGGATTAGTATAGACCCCCAAAAAATATCGTCCTCTCTCTGACTGCATTAACATTTTGTCCAAAACAGATCTCAAAAAGTTATGATGTGTGTGATGTGAAAATATGTCGACCCAAAGATATATCGTATACGGCGTTCCTCAAGGAAGCATTTTGAGTCCTACATTGTTTATATTATTTTTTAAGGATTTAAGTGTAAACTGCCTCAATACACTTATTTCTCTATACTGCTTTTCTCCAGTTTTATTCTCTATGCATTTTCAATTTGTTGTGAAGAAAAACATAAATAATTTTGTTTAGAGAGGTACTGACATCACTATGTACAACTTGCGTCCATACCTCAACTTTGAAACTTCCAGCACAAAACTGCCTGACCATATAAAAGAGATTAATACGGTGGCGGTACTTATAAAAGTTATGAGAAAGATATTTTCAGAGAACCCTTTTTACTCAGTGGAAGAATACTGCAATCATGGCTTTTAAATATGCTTACACTGCCACGCAAAATTAACCGGACAAAAAAAATTTTGTTCAAATTAAATTTTAAATAAATGTTAATGTCAATTTCGTTAATTTTCTCGTCAAGTTGTAGGTCATCATTATTGACTGTGAATATTACAAAAAAATTGAAAATGTTTCTTCTTATACAGGGTGTAACTAAAAGATGTATTTTTCCCTAAACTTCTGAACACCCTGTGGAAACATCGGATTACTGAATAATGTGTCTCCGTATAAGAATTTCAAGCTTCAACTTTTCTCAACAGTTTTGTTTTTGATTCATGTCAATATCTCAATTATTGAAAAATATATGCTGTTTTGAAGAAAATCATGCGAATCATAGCCATAAACAAGAAGTTGTTTCAAGCAGACTTTGCCGGGTAAGAAATTGTTTCAAGTAGGCTGTGTCTGATAGCATTTTTATGGCATGTCAAAGTCTTGTCAAGCAATACTCAACAAGTAGCGCAAGCTGTAGCTTTACAGGATGATGGTGATCCTATTCGGTATATAGCATAAAGGCTTGCCGTTCCACGCAGTACGGTACTCGATGCGATACAAAGATTTAGAGAAACTGGCTTCTGCTCAAGAAGACCTGGGCAGGGAAGACGGAAAGCAACAAACGCAGTTGAAGTTCGGTTTCTGACACTTCAAGCTCTTCGACAAAGGATAGTTCATTTTACAGCTTTGACTCGAAGATTGGATGATGTGCATGGTACCATAGTTTCACCTGTCATTTTGTGTACCAGCTATAGGTCCTCTATTGGATGTAGGTCATCGAAAGCAGTGCTTGATATTTTCTCTAACTCATGCAGATTGGGATATAGACGACTGAAAAAAACGTTCTTTTTACAGACGAGTCTCGTTTTAAGAGATATTCCCCTGATGGTCGCCAAAGAGTGTGGAGAAGGCATGGAGAACGCTATGTTCAAAGTTGTTTCGCTCCTAGACTGCAATTTGGTGGTGGAGGAGATGGTATGGGGCGGTGATTTTTTGCACTATTCAGTAATCCAATGTTTCCACAGGGTGTTCAGAAATTTAGGGCAAAATGCACCTTTCAGGTACACCCTGTATAACAACAAACATTTTCAATGTTTTGCTTAAAAGTTGACGAAAAAATTATCGAAATTGATGCAAAGGTTAAAAAGTTATTTCAAATTTAATTTGAACAAAATTTTGTTTGTCTGGTTGATTTTGCGTGGCAGTATAGTTTGTACCTACTGTGAAATGGAAATAAATATTTATTTATTTATCTATTAGAAGCATTTTTTGGGGGGGCTCTGTTGATGACAAAGCATTCTTTTCTCTTCATAAAATACAATGGGAAGTATGGAGTGAATCGAACTCAAAGAACTTCCACCACCATCGTTAATTTGCATTGGGATTAGGAACTTTACTATAACTTTCGTATTTATGGTAGGACTCGACTAGTTTGCACGTGTAATCTGGGTAGCCACCCAGAGTCAATTTTAGTTTGAGGACGCTTTTGAAATAAAGCCAAACGGGCTACGACTTCTCCTGCCTATATAGCTAATTAGCTAATTGTACTATCTAATCATATGACGCAAGAGTCCACCTAGTCAGAACATCCATAATCTATAAGAAATTGACAGATTGGAACTTGACACGAGTTTTATAAAGTTACGCTGTACAATACTACTATTTTTGAAAATCATCCAAGAGAAATAAGTTTCAATATATTACCAGCGAATCTGTCCAAAGGTGGCTTATTCTATCTAGATCGGACATCTAAATCCTGGATATGGACAGTTTGAACGTCAGGTTTATGTTATTTTCT